CACAGAATCGTTACTCAGGGACACAGAATCGTTACTCAGGGACACAGAATTGTTACTCAGGGACACAGAATTGTTACTCAGGGACACAGAACTGTTACTCAGGGACACAGAACTTGTTACTCAGGGACACAGAATTGTTACTCAGGGACACAGAATTGTTACTCAGGGACACAGAATTGTTACTCGGGACAGACACAGAATTGTTACTGAGGGACACAGAATTGTTACTGAGGGACACAGAATTGTTACTGAGGACACAGAATTGTTACTGAGGGACACAGAATTGTTACTGAGGGACAGACACAGAATTGTTACTCAGGGAACAGAATTGTTTACTCAGGGACACAGAATTGTTACTCAGGGACACAAATGGTTACTCAGGGACACAGAATTGTTACTCAGGGACACAGAATTGTTACTGAGGGGACAGACACAGAATTGTTACTGAGGGACACAGAATTGTTACTCAGGGACAAGACACAGAATTGTTACTCAGGGACAGACACAGAATTGTTATTCAGGGACACAGAATTGTTACTCAGGGACACAGAAATGGTTACTCAGGGACACAGAATTGTTACTCAGGGACAGACACAGAATTGTTACTCAGGGAACAGACACAGATTGTTACTGAGGGACACAGAATTGTTACTGAGGGACACAGAATTGTTAACTCAGGGACAGACACAGAATTGGTTACTGAGGGACACAGAATTGTTACTCAGGGACAGACACAGAATTGTTACTCAGGGACACAGAATTGTTACTCAGGGACACAGAATGGTTACTCAGGGACACAGAATGGTTACTCAGGGACAGACACAGAATTGTTACTCAGGGACACAGAATCGTTACTCAGGGACACAGAATCGTTGAATTAAGAGTATGTCAGACAACACGCAGAGGAGTGGCAGAGGAGGCAATGTTTCAGAGCGAGCAGACGTGGCAGCAGAGGATGGGGTCGAGGCAGCACTAGTCGCAGCCAGACAGAGGCCAGTGCTCCCGGTGTCATCCAGCGGTCGTGTCTCCACCGACAACCCTGCCGTCATCGATTGGTTGGCTCGGTCGTCTTCCTCTTCCCAGGTCAACCTCTGACACCTACAGCCAACGGGTCGGGTGGGTACATCAGACACAAAACCACGTTAGTTGGCATGGCCCGGGAGCAAAAACAGTTAAAGATGGGCATGGGACCGGGAGGCCTAAAAAAAAAACAAAGCCATGAAATCACGTGTCCTCTACCTGCCCCTGTCCTTTGTGTTCCCTCACCAAGCGAAGTATCGCATGCTGTGGGCTCAGCCCCACTGTACAGCGAGGAAAGCTAACAGAGGGCGGTCAGGAACGGGGGGAGACATCCGCCTCTTCAGCAGCCAGGCGAAGAAGTACTGGCGAGGAGAGTGGCTCGGTAGCCGGTCTAGAGACAGGTCTGTCTCCTGACCCACACGCAGCGAGGGGGCTAGTATGTGAGGCGGAGACCCTAATTGATGATGATGAGGCTGATCGCACTTGGCAAGCCTCGTCGTCATCAGGCTATTGCTTCCCGCATCATCAGGAGAAGAGGGTGCCAGCTTGGCAGCGAGCAAAACAGTCGGTGGGTTTGCCAGGAGGCAGCAGGGTCGCAGCAGTGTCAGTGGAGGCAAACGGCCACGGAGTAGAGCACCAGGCGTCCACTGCAGCCTACCACCACGGCCAGTAGTGGTGCCGGTGTGCACGGAGGAAGTAGCAGTCAGCCAGTGAGGAGAGTAGCGGGGGCAAAGTTTCCTACTACTCGGCGGTGTGGCAATTTTTCGTCAAGCCGCCCGAGGAAGTAAACGTAGCCGTATGTCGACTATGTGGCCAGAAAGTCAAGCGGAAGTGGCCAGGGGGGCCCATGTTGGGACTACAGCGTTGCGTCAGCATATGCAGCGTCGCCATATGGTGGCCTGGGAAAAACCCGTGATAAAGATACGGCGGTTTCCTTGCCTGCCCCAGCCCCCGCTCCATCACCCGCTCCGTTACTTGCTCCGTCACCCGACGTTCAATCGCCCTCTATCAGCCAGTCAAGGCTCCAACACCTCTGCTGAGGGGAGTTGTCGCTCGTTGGCATCTTCCGCTCGTTCAGATGCTCCTTCTCCCTGCTACTCCTCTTCACGGATTCCGTCAGCAGTCTTTCTTGGAATCCGTTTCCAAGAGACAACAGTTTGCGAGCACGCACCCGACGGTGCAAAAGCTGAACGTCCTTCCTGTCCAAGTTGCTGGTGCTGCAGTCCCTCCCTTTCCAAGTGGTGGACTCAGCACCTTTCGAAAAATGATGGCTTGTGCCGAGCCGCGGTTGAGGACGCGGTGGAGAGTGCCAAGCCGGCATTTCTTCACCAAAAAAGGCAGTGCCAGCCCTGCATTCACATGTAAGAAGAGATGGTGGGCCAGTCTTTGAGCATGTCGGTCTCTGCCAAAGTGGCACGGCAGCGCCGACGTGTGGAGCTGTAACTACGGTCAGGGACAGTACATGTCATTTACGGCCCACTGGGGTGAACGTGGTGCCGTCACAGCCGCACCAGCAACTTGGACAGGTCACGCCGCTTTTGCCTCCACGTTTGCACGTCCTTGGTCCAGAAAAGAATGTCCGCCTCTACCACCTCTTCTTCCTTCGTGTCCTCAGCCGCCACCCCCCGTGCAAGTCCCATTTACCCCGACCGGCATATCACATGTGCAGGGCGCAACGGTGTCACGCTGTGCTGCACCTGGTAAAAAAAAAAAAAATGCCTTGGCGAACGTAGTCACACAGGGGAGGAACTTCTGAGTGTAATGAACAGAGAAATCGACAGATGGCTGTCTCCCGCGCAAACTGAAAATCGGAACCATGTTGACCGACAACGGAAAAGAACATGGTGTCTGCTCTGCGTCAAGGAAGGTTGTGCCATGCGCCATGCTGGCTCACGTGTTCAATCTGGTTGTCAAGCGGTTCCTAAAATCCACCATCCCACTGCAAGACATCCTTAAAATGTCATGTAAACTTTGCATGCATTTCAGCCCATTCCTACACCGCAAAGCACACCCTCCTTGAAGCTGCAGCGGCAGAACGGAATTCCGACAGCATCGCCTGATCTGCGACGTTGCAACAAGGTGGAATTCAACCCTACATATGTTAGACCGCCTTACGAACAGCGAAAGGCCATCACCGATTTCCTGATGTTACAAGCGGATAAAGGTACTCCCCTGTGTAACTTAGATGTCAGCCATTGGCAGCTCATGCATGACACCTGCCGCTTGCTCAGGCCCTTTGAGGAGGCCACGCTATTCGTGAGTCGGCAGGACTATGGGATGAACGACGTCATTCCTCTGTTGCACGTCCTGGAACAAATGCTGTTAACAATGGCTGGTCAGGGTGCGGTAGACGTGGCGCACAGATCTCAACGCCACATGACCCCTGTGGGGGCAGGACAGGAAGAAGAGGAGGTGGTAGAGGAGGAACATTGGTGCTCAGGAATTATTGAGTGAAATGGGTGGTTTTTCCACTCAGCGGACAGGAGTGGAGGAGCAGGAGCATCTGGTAGAGGAGGAGGAGGAGACAGAGGACCCAGACGCACCGTGGCAGTATGCTGTGGAGATGGAGGCAGGGAGTCCCTCGCATTCCTTGGCACAAATGGCCCGTGGGGTGATTGGGGTGTAGCATGCTGTCGGTTGCTTGGCGTAGCAATGACGGTTGCTTCTCGTAGCGACCGAATAATAACCATCAGACAGAGGGATGACTTTTGGCTGTCCACCTTGTTGGACCCTCGCTACCGTTCAAAAATGGTGGCCTTTTTCACACCTGCTGAGAGGGAGGCCAAAATAACATTACTATAAAAACACACTATGTTAGTCAGTTGGTCTCTGCCTTTCCTCTGCGCCAACGTCCATCCTCAGACACTGTGGGCCCTGTGCGCTTGCGTTCCGCTGCCATGGCAGCAGGGGAGGGGTGGGGTGGTAGGAGCAGTGGCAGCTCCACCAGCAGCAGCTGCCTCAGTCTGCAGTCGATGATGAGTAGCTTTCTTCACCAGCGCAGTGAGGAAACTACTAACCAGCCGCAGCAGCAGCAGCATCAGGTGGACCTGGAGCAGGACCTCAAACAACAGGCTTGGGCCTACTTGGACAGCACCCTGCCAACCGAGGTAGACAATCCCCTTGACTACTGGGCAACGAAACTTGACCTTTGGCCCCAACTAGCTGAATTTGCCCTTGAAAGGCTGTCATGCCCGGCCAGTAGCGTGGCATCGGAGCGCGTGTTTAGTGCGGCAGGAGGTATTGTAACTCCGCGGAGGACACGACTGTCCACCCAAAGTGTGGAGAGACTCACGTTTGTGAAAATGAATCAGGCGTGGATTAGTCTGGATTTCAAACCACCAGTTCCTGACACAACTGACTAAATCCGCCATAAAATCATGCCCCAAACATGTTATTATTTTTAACATAGGCCTCTGTATGGCCTTCAATTTAAGCTGCTTATGCTTCGCCACTCTACCATGGGCCCCTGTACCGCCTCCTCTTGCTGCTGCCAGGTCCAGAGTGTCTCATGGGTCCCTGTACGGCCTCCCATTGCTGCTGTCTCCATCGCCACACTCTGCCATGTGCCACTTTCAGGTCTCCTCACACTGCTGGTGGGTTCCATTTTGTCATAGGGTGCTGGCAGATTACGGGCCTCCCATTGCTGCTGGCCAGGCCCGTAATCTGCCATGGGCCCCCGTACCGACTCCTCATGCTGCTGCCAGGTCCAGAGTGTCTCATGGGTCCCTGTACGGCCTCCCATTGCTGCTGTCTCCATCGCCACACTCTGCCATGTGCCACTTTCAGGTCTCCTCACACTGCTGGTGGGTTCCATTTTGTCATAGGGTGCTGGCAGGTTACGGGCCTCCCATTGCTGCTGCCAGGCCCGTAATCTGCCATGGGCCCCCGTACCGCCTCATCATGCTGCTGCCAGGTCCAGAGTGTCTCATGGGTCCCTGTACGGTCTCCCATTGCTGCTGTCTCCATCGCCACACTCTGCCATGTGCCACTTTCAGGTCTCCTCACACTGCTGGTGGGTTCCATTTTGTCATAGGGTGCTGGCAGATTACGGGCCTCCCATTACTGCTGCCAGGCCCGTAATCTGCCATGGGCCCCTGTACCGCCTCCTCATGCTGCTGCCAGGTCCAGAGTGTGTCATGGGTCCCCCTGTACGGCCTCCCATTGCTGCTGTCTCCATCGCCACACTCTGCCATGTGCCACTTCAGGTCTCCTCACACTGCTGGTGGGTTCCATTTTGTCATAGGGTGCTGGCAGATTACGGGCCTCCCCATTGCTGCTGCCAGGCCCGTAATTGCCATGGGCCCCCGTACCGACTCCTCATGCTGCTGCCAGGCCCGTGATCTGTCATGGGCCCCTGTACAGCCTCCTCATGATGCTGCCAGGTCCAGAGTGTCTCATGGGTCCCTGTACGGCCTCCCATTGCTGCTGTCTCCATCGCCACACTCTGCCATGTGCCACTTTCAGGTCTCCTCACACTGCTGGTGGGTTCCATTTTGTCATAGGGTGCTGGCAGATTACGGGCCTCCCATTGCTGCTGCCAGGCCCGTAATCTGCCATGGGCCCCCGTACCAACTCCTCATGCTGCTCCAGGCCCGTAATCTGTCATGGGCCCCTGTACCGCCTCCTCATGCTGCTGCCAGGTCCAGAGTGTCTCATGGGTCCCTGTACGGCCTCCCATTGCTGCTGTCTCCATCGCCACACTCTGCCATGTGCCACTTTCAGGTCTCCTCACACTGCTGGTGGGTTCCATTTTGTCATAGGGTGCTGTATGGCCTCCCATTGCTGCTGCCTCCACCGCCACACTGTGGCTCCACACTCTGGTTTTGGCCCCGTGACTGCCCAAATGAGTGAAGTGTGCGGTGATTCTAAGATCGACGGCACTCATCTGCATGTCATACTGACTGACAGTATTATTTCTCTTCCCCAGCAGTCTCCAAGGGCATTTAAATTAAAGGTACAGTGTTCTGCACTAATATAAAGGCTCTCTGAAGCCTAGAAACACCCTTTTTATAAGTTAAATTCGCAGCGAATATATTCGACTCGAATCGAATTTATTCCGCGAATTCGCCGAATCAGCCGAATCGAATTTTTGAATACTTCGCTCATCTCTAAAGCTAACATCTGTCATTTATTTTGGGTGTCAATTTGATGTTTGTGAGTGCTTGCAGATGTGGATGTCCAACCACTTTTTCTTGATCAGTATGCAATAACTTCTATTCTACTGATTCTATTGGTTTATTAGTAAAAAACTGTTATTGCCTGGACTGGGTAAGAAAAAAATTAATTATGGTCAATAAACAGAAGCTAACATCTGTCATTTATTTTGGGTGTCAATTTGATGTTTGTGAGTGCTTGCAGATGAGGATGTCCAACCACTATCAGGGGAAAAATCTGATTAAAAAGCTATGCTCCTGATTTTACCCCCTTACGCTGAGACCAGGCTTTTCCTCTTTGCACCTCAATCCTCCACTTTATATTCATATAAACTGTTAAAGTCAGTTAAAGATCTTTCAGGCCCCCAGACTTCTTCTCAGTGTCCTGTAGATGGCTTGAGGTGGTTCAACTTGTGCCTGCGCAAAAAAAGTCTTCTAGTTCTATTTATGTTCCTCATAATCATACCTCTGTGAATAAGGGTCATGTCACACTTCTGTTCCTGTCACTGGTGAAAACTCACCAGCAACAGAATTGCTTTAAGGGTTGAGAAATACATTCCTGCTTCCAAGGTGTTTCTCTGTTGCTGTCTGGATGAGCGAGGACTCATCCTGTGGATGAAAAGTGACATTTTTATCAGTGAGGGAGTGACATTTCTCTCATCCTTGCAGCAAGGGAGTGACAATGTTGAATCCAATGGGGATTTTCTCTGCACATTTTAGAGATGTTGTTGCTGGCAAGTCTGTCATGATAATAATAAAGGGCAGAATGATGGCTGCAAGGTGATTTCTTCAGTTACTAAAATGGTTTGATGGAACCCTTGCACTATACTTATAAACTTTCTTAATAAATAATTAATAAATAATAAACCTATGTGCCCACCTACTGCTTTGAATATGTGTACCCCCTGTCCACTTATGGTGACAATTTGTGTAAAAAACAAGTGGAGCAGGGCTAAAATGCAATAAATGTCATTGAACAGCAAAAATTGTGCACAAAAATTGCTGAGCAAAAAATTGTCAATATATATAAAGTTCAACTATGCCACAAAAGATATATACGAATCACAATAAATTTTCATACGTTTGCAATAAAGACCTTGGAGTGCATAAATGATATTGTGCAACAAAAGCTGGCTACTGCACAAAAAAGTGACCATTCAATATGAATAATGTGTAACAAAGTCCATCCAAAACTGTGCACACAATGTGCTCCAGGAGTGCCTTTAAAAGTGCTCACTCACCAGATATTTAACCCTCATGGAACATAAGTAGGTCTACATGCTCTTGTTTGAAAAATCTTCAATGGATAATCAATGCAAGGTTACCCAGTTCTTCCACCTATACTGGATCATCCTCCAAAAGGTCACCGGAGAGAACATACCCAACATTTCCTCATATGCCACTTAAAAAGGGAGACAGATCAGAGGAGAAATTATAGCACACCATGCATTTATTAAAAGAATTACCCATATACTAAAGCTATTGCACTCACAGTAATGGTGAACCTCTGGCACCCACAATGACCAGCCTATTGATCGCAGGAAATGCCACTGCACCGCAATGCCCTGGAGCCAGTCTGCATTCCAAACAATGGAAATGATGTCACAGCTCAGGAGTCCCACCACTACACATTTTGTCACATCCAGACATCATCAGAAAGTACTGAATAAAGTGCCTCAAATAAACAACAGCACTTCACTCAAAAAGAAGGGGGTACCATCATCCAGGGTTGACTTAGTAAAGAAACAAGGGGAGATAACCCCAAGGCAGGATAAATTGACTATCTCAGTACCCATTAACCGTTTTCATACCAGGCACTTTTACCCCCTTCCCTCCCAGGCCATTTTTCAGGTTTCAGCGCTCTCACACTTTGAATGACAATTGCGCGGTCATACAACATTGTACCCAAACTAAAATTTTATCATTTTCTTCACACAAGTAGAGCTTTCTTTTGGTGGTATTTAATCACCACTGGGGTTTTTATTTTTTGCTAAATTAACAAAAAAAGGCCGAAGATTTTTCTTTGTTTCTGTTATAAACGTTTGCAAATAAATAATTGTTCTTCATAAATTTAGGCCGAGATGTATTCTGCTACATGTCTTCGGTGAAAATAACCCAAATTAGGATGTATTTTTTAGTTTGTAGGAAAGTTATAGAGTTCACAAACTATGGTATAGATCTGAATATTGATCAATCCTGAAGTACAGACAGCCAATCTAATTTCTTGAGGTCCAAGAATGTCAGAACAGTACAGACATCCCTCAAATGACCCCTTTTTGCAAATTAGACAGTCCGATATACTTCAAAAGAGGCATGGCAAGTTTTTTGAAGTTGTATTTTTTTTGTCAGAATTTTTTGGAAAATGAAAATATTTTAAAAATTATTTTCACAATTTTGTTTTTTTTACATACTGTCACCAGTGCAGTACAGCGTCATCATATAACTGGCGTGGCAGTGATCAGGGACACTGACTGGTGACAGTATGAAAATATATAATTTTTTTTTTTGTTTTCAATTTTTTATTACTTTTTTTTCTTTATTTTACGATTTTTTTTTTTTTTCATATTTCACTATGACCAAAGTAGTACAATGTTACCATAGTAACATTGTACTACTTTGGGGAAGTGATCAGTATTTGTTTTTACACAATTTGCTTATAGCAAAGAATTACTTTGCTATAAGCAAGCAGTTACCTGAATGACATCGATTCATTCAGGGTTTTTTTTTTTTTTTTTTTTTTGTGTGCTTAGCTGTGATTTGGCCACAGCTAATTACATGACACAGCTGGGCTGTGATTAGCCCAGCTTGTGCATGTGATCGCTGTGACCAATCACAGCTACACACACTAGTATACAATGGATGGCATGAATGAAGCCATCCATTGTATACAACTGTCATGTGACCTGCTGTGATTGGTCACAGCAGGTCACATGGTATCGGCAACGGGGCCGGTACTCAGATCTGTTATCGGCCGCGTCCGAGGTACACGGCCGGTGACAGATCGTGCCGCTGCGTGGCTCTGCAGGTGCGCAAACTGCGCATGCCTGGGAGTATGCCATATGGCATCCACCCGGAACGCTAATGGATTTTGCTGCCCGCCATTCGGCCATTGGCCGGGCGGCTAATGGTTAATAACACATTTAAAGTGACATATAAGTTTATTGATACAAAAACAAAGTTTTTTTTTTTCATGTACATGAATACATATTTAAAATCACACAGGTTAACAAAGTAGTATAAAAAAACTGGCTTGTGGGGGTAAAGAGCCCACAAAAAGAAGTCCCAAAGAGAACAAATCTGTGGTTTAAAAATGTATTTATTGAAATATATCAAAATCTGAATGATACAATAGCCCCTCTACCCTACACAATAAAACAAAATGACAACATTGCCCTATCATATAAACACCCCCTGGCCACACAGGCATACTCTCCAGACACACAAGTTGACATTGACATTGGGATATAATAGTGGGGACCAAGAACCCTGTAGTTGTAGCTGATATAGATAATTCATTATCATTGATCTAGCTATAACAACAATGCAATTTAGGTGACGTAGGGGTACCGGTCCCTCAACAAGTGCCAAAGTTGTAACACATATCAGCATGTGTAATAATGGATGGTAATGGCAGTTCATCAATCCAAAAAGGATATATTCAATCAGTGCTGACAGGTTAGGAACCTGTAATGGATAGTTCCCATAAGCAGTTCAAACCATGCTAGGTGTCATAATAATATTGGTGCAGGTGACAGACGGACACATCAAAGTTCAACAGGGCATCAATAGTGGTCACATAGAAGCAATAGTCTGAAATTAAGTGACCAGTATGTAAATAAAGATTGGGATGAACCACAGCCATGTGCTGCATGCAGACAAAAGGAGGCACCAGGTATGTAAGGCTCAACAGGGCAAACAGAGTCAAAGGGATAAACCCTGATATGTTCACAACACGGCCTGAATGTAATCAGCTCACCCCTCCAGTAACGGTCACTGGCTTCAATGGATCTCAACCCACTGTGTGGAGCGGCTAGAGTCACCCTCCATGTGGCGATAGCTGTGCATGGAACTGCAATGGCATGTCCAGTGTGGTGCGGCAAGATGGCAAAGTCACATGGAGGGGACTGGGACACGACGCGCGACGTCAATGCTTTTCGCCCACTGAGTCACGTTAGCTTCTTCAGGATGCTGCGGTCATGATATAAAGGGTTTATATAGAGACCAACACATCACTTCCAGATTTACCCAAAAGTAACCACAGCTTATGTTGTCACTTAGAACATCGCAAACTGCTACCATATCAATTTCATATAAATAGAAAGTGAGAAAGTAACAGGTAAATATGGTATCACACCATCACACTGAGTCATACCCAATTTGTATATTATGTCAGTGACAGAAAAGGTCATAAGAGACCACGGAGACTATGATTCTAGAAAGACCTGTAAACTCAATTCGGTATTAAGTCCTTTGGGTGTCAAAGACCCAAGTCTGAATATCCACTCCTCCTTCCGCTGGAGGATCGTGTCAATATCCTCCCTGCGGCTGAAGAGGTTCAGAGCATAAATTTCCTTCACTGTAAGTCCTATGGGAGATGAATTATGGAACTTAGTCTTCCCAATATATATTTTTCTACAGGGGCATTCAAGCATGTATAGTACTCGTGTTGTTGCACAGTTCAGAAATTGTTCAATTTGTGGGCTTTTTACCCACATGCCAGTTTTTTGTTACATACCCCATGGGTCCTGAGGACACCACCCTTAATTTTAGGTGAGCCTGCTATAATATATGTACATTTCTTTTGCAGTGGATCCCAATTCTATTT